AGGATTCACGGTTTTGGTTTTTCAATTTTTCTGGAAAGACTAAAATTTGTTTTTCCCAATTTTTGCTGGAAATGCCTCAAAATTTTCCGAAAAAATTTCGCACTCTTTGGAATCCCTCTAGCCGTCTCCTCTCCTGCCTGGGCACGTATCGGCCTTAGACGGGCATGCTGGCTGCCCACACTGCCAGACGCGGGTCGTCCACGCCGCCCACCTCGCAGTTGACGGCGCGGGCGTGGCCGTTGACGACGAACACGGCGTCGTAGCCGGGCGTCACCAGGTAGCGGTCGAAGGTGCGCGGCGACACGATGGGTCTGCTGGCGGCGCCGAAGCGCGCCTTGGACGCCAGCAGCGGCTTGCCCACGCCCGTGATCATCTCGACCTGGCCGGTGAACAGGTCCAGGAACAGCACGTCGTCCTTGTCCACCGTCGTGGCGTACAGGTCGTAGCCGTGCGCCGAGGTGGACGGGTAGAAGGCCACGTCGCTGATGTTGAGCGTGCTGCGGATGTCGAAGTGGAACGACAGCCCCACGCTCGTGATGCGCATGACCACCAGGTCGACGCCGTGCTTGCCCTCGCGCAGCACCACCAGCTTGCGCGAGTCGGGCGTCACGTGGATGCGGCCCGCCAGGTTGTTGTACTGGCTCAGCACCGTGTCCGTCATGTAGTCGAGCAGCAGCACCTTGGAGCTCAGCCCCGTCGCCGGGTTGGCGCAGCGCACGAACACGAAGCCGTCTGCGGGCGGGAGAGAGCGGCGGAAGTGAGCGGGGCTTCAAATACTATACGGGGTCCCAAATGCACCAGAACGGTCATTTGCAGTCCATACAGACCTCATAATATTTGCATCCCGGGGGTACAAATATCGTGGGAATCTACTCCAATGATGTTCCTGATTATTTTGGGAACCCAAAATATTTGTACCCCCCCTCCCCCCTTTCCAAAGGCACGTAGTATATCCGAACGAACTCTGCCCACTTCAAGGAACTACATTCCGTTTCCCATACAACCTTGATTTTGGTTGTATCAACTGAATGCATACTCACAGAGCGCGGAGAACTTGACGTCGACGGGCACGCACGAGTAGCGGCTGAGGTCCACGGCGTTGGAGTAGCGCAGCTCGTCCAGGTCGACCTTGGACAGGGCCTGGCGGTGCGCGTGCGACACGTACCCGCGGCGCAGGCCGCGCATCAGGTCGCGGCCGACGGGCGGCAGGAAGAGCGCCTGCACCAGGTCGAACTCGCCGCGCACGGGCTCCAGGTGCACCGTGCGGTGGCGCCGCTTCTCCAGCGCGTCGCGCACCACCTGGATCGTCTTGGTGCCGCGGTCCTGGTCGCTGCGCCAGTTCACCACCCACACCTGGCCCGTGTGCGGGATGAAGTGCAGGCCCACGGGGTACTTGTCGGTGGGGATGGCCTGCGGAGGGAAAGTCGTAGTATTTGTACCTCATACTTTTAAAAGGGGG